GGAAGACATTAATGTGTGCCCAAATGTGGTTTAAATAATTGAATTTATCAGGTTATCTTCATCAATACAGATTCATCAATACAGAAAGTATGAGTGCGAGACAAAACAACACCGTTTCAGCAATGACAGTAACTTTTTTCCTGCATCCATCCTCATGGGCTGTAATCTTCATTGTTGAATATTGTTCCTCAGCAATGTCTTTATGTGTTTAGTAGAAAAGAGTCTATCACTCTGATTCACAGTGCATATCGTCCTCTTCTTCCATGCTCCCTTCAGATTGAGATTCAAAGCGTTTGTTTCCTGAGCCGGAACTGTGAATGGCCTCAGAGACAGTGTAGCGACTTCGGCCTTCAGCACAGGCCTCGATTTTTTTCACGCTTAGTTGGGACTGTAGGAAGAGATGTAAGCAGCTGTCGGAAAGCAGCACCAGGCTGTGAACCACCCTTGAGGATGTAAGTATATACAGTAACTGATCACAGAAACCATAAGCATTTCAGTTACTGTATTTTTTGAGATTCAAGAGATGAAATACTGACATACGTCACATGTTCTCAAGCTAAACGTATTCTTTCAGTCATGGTTTTATGTTTGTTGTATGTATCTTGTTCTTTAGTTCTATTTTGATACTTACTCTTCTAGAAATTTCCTGAGCCCTTCCATACGGGCTCCGATCTCTCTGGCATTGTTGAGATTGAAGAACGGGTTTTTTGGAGGAAGTTTGGGTAGATGTGTTCTGCAATTCAGAAACAACAACAGAAGTTGAGTTTTCATTTGTCACATAGAAAATTGCCCAATGAGTGAAACTTTAATATGTCTAAAACACAGCTGCCTAATATGGTAATTAGCAGTATTGTTAACTAAAATGTTTAAAAACGTTTCTGTTTATTACAATAAAGCCGGAATGAAATAAAAAGGTAACACTTTAGTTGGGGGACCAATTCTCACTATTAACTAGTTGCTTATTAGCATACATATTACCGCTACTAGTAAGCATATTGGCTGTTTATTAGTGTCTATAAAGCACATAATGCCTGACCATATTCTACATTCCTAATCCTACCCAATACCTAAACTTAACTACCTTACTAACTATTAAGAATTAGTAGTAGTAGTAGCAAGGAGTTTATTGAAGCAAAAGTCATAGTTAATAGTTAGTTAATATTGGTCCCCAAACAAAAGTGTGACCAATAAAGGAAAAAAAAAATTAGAAGAAAAATTACGAAAAATTATTCAAATGAAAATTGAAAATATAAAAATAAAAGCTAATTTAATTAATATTTATAAATACTAAAATGGTATATAAATAAACCTAAAACAATCCTAGTAATTAGCAACAATTAGTAATTTGTATTTATATTAACTGGGATACAAATTGGGTCAATGCGATGTTCAAATTAATTAATTTCAATTAATTAAAAAAAACATAAAAAATTTAATGCACACATATACACTGACTTCAATACACCTCTACTATGATGATCATGATTTTAATTTCTGTATCAAAATTACAAAAATTTAGGGTGACACATTCATTTATATTTTTTAAAATACATTCAGTAAAATGATTCATTCTTTCATTCATTGTTCAGTACACCTTCTATGATTATCATGTTGTTAATTTCTGTATCAAAAATGTAAAAAACTATCCAGATAACATAATGCATAATAAAGGATATCAATAAAATTGATATACAGAGGGTTTATGTCTAAAAACTTGGGTTTTTCCATTTTCATAGACGCTGTTTTACATCATTGACCCGATTACAAATGATTAACCATAAGTGAACAAATTCTGAACAAAGTAAATAACAATAACAGGATGCAAAGGTTTCATACATGAGCATAGCATTTTCCTGTAGCTTTTTTCTTAGCCACACAAACTCGCTGTATCTCCGCCGCACACAGGAACTCTTCTTAGTGAAGGCCAGACTGTTTGTCTGAATGAATGTGAAATATAAAGAATGATCAGGAAGTTTCTGCCATCTGTTTTGACCACTTTGTATCATATGTTCTGATTGCACTTACATGTATACAGATTTCATAATCCATGTAAGCATGCCAGAAATCCTCTTTCTGGATGCGAGGATCCCTCACCCACACGCCAGTGAATTCCTGCATAAGTCCAAGAACGCTGGAAAAGACCTCACGCATACGCTCACAAACTCACATTGGACAAGTACACATAACCAGTACTCAGAGGTTTAAAAAAATGGGAAGAATAAAAAGGGAAGTATTTTCATGAGACATTGGTCTTGTTGACCAACTGGGGCTGATTCATGGGAACTGTAGACTGGGGAAAAACCTCCAAGCTCATTTTGTGTCTCTGACGGACAGCGGTGCTTCATTTTTACCAGCCACCAGAGACATAGCAGACTAGCACTGCCATAAACATAAAAGGAGCAGGAAAAAGCAGCTGGAAAAAATGGGTACCATAATCATAACACCTGCGTGTTTGAAACAACTAATAGTACTTAAACAGTTATTCATGTACAGCTTTTCAGACCTCTTGATATTACAGATAGGTTACAGGGTTATTATATTTAGCAAAAATTAAAACCATAAAAAACATATTCATTAATGGAAATAAAATAAATGTTAACTGAAATAAAATTTAAAAAATAATAATTTCAGCTAGTTTCTAAAGCAAGATTTCTCATTTTCATTTAGTGTAGCAATGTACTAAAATAACTGAAATATGAAAAAATATATACATATTTAAAAAAAAAAAAAGACAAAAAATAAAACAATGAATGAATGAAAATTTTCAGCATCATTACTCCAGTACAAAAGATTTATATTTTAGATAAATGCTGTTCTTATGAACTTTCTATATTCATCAAAGAAACCTGAAGAAAATCTACTCGGCTGTTTTCAACATATTAATAATAATAATAATAATAATAATAAATGTTTTTGAGCAGCAAATCAGAATATTAGAATGATTTCTGTAGGATCATGTGACTGGAGTAATGATGCTAAAAATTCAGCTTTGAAATCACAGGAGTAAATTACATTTTAAAATATACTCAAAAGAAAAAGTTATTTTAAATAAACATATTTCAAAATTTTACTGTTTTTGCTGTACTTTGGATCAAATAAATGCAGGCTTGGTGAGCAGAAGAAACTTCTCTAACGTTCTAAAAACATCAAAAATCTGTTCAAAAACTTTTGACTGGTAGTGTAAAAACAAATTCAGAATATTATAATATAAATAAAATATAAATAACATTATAAAAGTATCTAAAACTGATTGGTTATTTTAAAATGTAATTTTGCGATTTAAAAGGAAAATCTGATAAGAAAAAGGTTGCTTCATCCATTTTTACAATAGAATGTACCAAAGGTAGCTACACTCATAGTTATTTGATTTAAAGGGTTAGTTCACCCAAAAATGATAATTAGCCCATAAATTACTCACCCTCAAGTCATCCTAGGTGTATATGACTTTCTTCTTTCAGACGAATCCAGTCGGAGTGATATTAAAAATTGTCTTTGATTTTTCAAGCTGTTTCATGGCAATCAGCAGGTGTTGCATGCATCAGTCCAAAAGAAGTTAAATAAAAAGCGCCAATCCATAAAAAAAGTGTCTCACACGGCTCCGGGGGGTGAACAAAGGCCTTCTGTAGCGAATCGATGCGTTTTTGTAAGAAAAATATCCATATTCAAAACGTAATAATCACTTTAATGTAGCTTGCGCTCACTGTTGTATACACAGAAGCAGTTCCGGGGGAATGACGTAAGACGTCGGCATTGCGCATGCGCCGCTCAGAAGTGACACACGCGGAAGCGCAGGGGAGAGATCAAAACAAAACAACGGTCACCAATTAGAAGTACAAAACGAGGATTTGTAAAGAAGAATGTCGGAGGATTTCGATATAAGCCAAGAGGAGACTGGTTTTCCTTTGCTAAAGTAAGGAAACTTTGCTTCATTTGCTCCTGTTAACAAACGTTGGTTTTCACGAGACTCACCTGCGCATGCGCAGCGCTGAACTCATACCTCATCCGCCCGGAGCTGCTTCCGTGTATAACTGTTGGCGCAAGCTACATTAAAGTGATTATTACGTTTTGAATATGGATATTTTTCTTACAAAAATGCATCGATTCGCTACAGGAGGCCTTTGTTCACCCCCCGGAGC